CTCTCTCTCTCTCTCTCTCTCTCTCTCTCTCTCTCTCTCTCTCTCTCTCTCTCTCTCTCTCTCTCTCTCTCTTGTCCGCAGCGTTCGACGCACGGGAAACCCGTTTGTCGCGTTGGAGCGGTATGGCTCGCGCGACAAATGAACTGCGGCCGAACGCAAGTACTGTTTTTGTACCCGTTCGGATCGTTTCCCCTGCACCACCCCCCAGCACCAGGCACCCCGCGAACGCCCTGCAGGACGCAAAGGGGTTCGCACGTGTTTTTTTTTTTTTTTTTGCAAAAAAAAAAAAAAAAAAAAAAAAAGTGCATGGGGCGGTACCCGACAACGGACACTACCACCCCACACTTTCACAAAATCCCTACCCCCCCCCCCAAACGAGCGGAAATGCAGTTCGCGGACCCCGTTCAGTCGCGTCCAACGCGCGTTTGAACGTGGATTGAACGCGAATTCAACGCGCGTTCAATTTTTCAACGCGAAACCCGCGTTGAATCCATTTTCGGACACACAGCCTGCAGTGTTATGTCGGAACACTACTATTGCTCGATGTCATTTTGACAGTCAGACATTCACTATGATCTAGCAATCAGAAGTTGCATCATCGTACCTGTTGGAGTGTGCATTGCTCACACAGTCAAACGAAGCAGTAGTAGACTAGAGACGTACTTGTTGGACTGTGCGTTGCTCCCGCAGACGAAGGAAGCAGTAGCAGGCCAGCAGCAACTGGACACGTACCTGTTGGACTGTGCGTTGCTCACACAGTCAAAGGAAGCAGCAGCGGGCCAGCAGCAGACTGGAGACGTACCTGTTGGACTGTGCGTTGCTCACACAATCAAAGGAAGCAGCAACAGGCCAGCAACAGACAAAAAACTTACCTGTTGGACTGTGCGTTGCTCACACAGACGAAGGAAGCAGCAGCGGGCCAGCAGCAGACTGGAGACATACCTGTTGGACTGTGCGTTGCTCACACAATCGAAGGAGCAGCAACAGACCAGCAGTGGACTGGAGACTTACGTGTGGGATGGCGCGTTACTCATCTGGTCGATGTAAGTCGCACGAAGACCAGCGCGCGGGTTGGAAACTTCCCTGGTGTACGTGGGTGGGGATGGACTACTTGCGAGAGGGCTTTACATTGGGGGATGTAGCTCCGCTCTCACGTCAAGATGGTAGCTCTTTGGTCACTCACGGCATTTTTTCGATTCAATTAAGTCTGACCAAGCAACTACTCCTTCCAATACACAAGCAGTCCAGGGAGTTCGTTGAGGATTCGTCTTCTTGTCGCGCGCAGGCCAAGCGTCATCCATTGGGCCGCGCATCTTTTCACTAAGTCTGGTGGCTCAAGACAACCCCTACAGCATCCTTGGGGTGGGGTGGCATCGCCCGGACCCCTAGCCGCTATATTTTTTTTTGCTTGAGCCACTAGCATTGCATTCACCTATCCAAGACTTCCCTTAGTCCTTTCGGGCTTGCGTTGCATTCAAGAGCGCCATTGCATTCAATCATCACACAAGCCACATCCAGGCGTCCACCACTCATCCAAGCATCCGACCATCAAGCCCATCCTGCATTCATAGTTTAAGCGAGGTCCAAGTCCTTCCCTCGTCGCTTTCCCTATTCCCACCCGCATCCTGGCGGACGCAGTCCCGCTCGGACCACCCTAGGCTACTCACCTGCGCAAGACCACACAAAGCAAAGACCAAGTACAATCCCCATTGGGGTCAACACATTGCCCCTCCCACAAGCCTAAGTTTCCTTTGCCTTTGATGATCCTTTGGTTTTCTTTCCCTTCACTCAAGCAAGTCATGCCTTCACCTTAGTCATGCGGTCGGGGAAGATGGTTGAGTCAAACTGACCTCGTCACAAAAACAGCACTCCTTTCCGCTTTCACAGATGTTCCCAACATCCTGGTATCCTTTCCTTCCTGGTGGCACAAGGGACCGACAGCCCTTCCCTTGCCCTCGCTTTCCACCAAGTGAGGACCAAGTTCTTTCCCGTTCGTCCCCTGGCAATGTAACAGGCGAGGGTAGAGGTTAGTCACATAACATGGAGGGGAAGGAGTGAGGAAAGAGGTAAGGGTTAAAGAGTTCGAAGGAATGGGGGAAGAGGGAGAGAGAAAGAGAGAGAGGGGGAGGGAGGGAGAGAGAGAAAGAGAGAGAGAGAGAGAGAGAGAGAGAGAGAGAGAGAGAGAGAGAGAGAGAGAGAGAGATCAAGAAGTTTCACATCCTAATCGACCTTGCCCCCTTGACCTGCCTCTACCCAGAATCCCGTGTACCCCCTTGCGATCCTCATGATTTTCGATAGAGAAGAATGGTTGAGGTGGTTGGCTATGGTGGATGGGTGAAGGTGATGGAGGAAGAAGAAGGGTTGAGGTGGTCGGCTGTGGGTGGATGGGTATAGGTGATGGAGGTGAAAGAAGGGTTGGGGTGGTTGGTTATGGTAGATGGGTGTAGGTGATGGAGGAGGAAGAAGGGTTGAGGTGGTCGGCTATGGTGGATACGTGTAGGTGATGGAGGTGGAAGAAGGGTTGGGGTGGTCGGCTATGGCGGATGGGTGTAGGTGATGGAGGTGGAAGAAGGGTTGAGGTGGTTGGCTATGGTGGATGGGTGTAGGTGATGGAGGTGGAAGAAGGGTTGGGGGTGGTTGACTATGGTGGATAGGTGTAGGTGATGGAGGTGGAAGAAGGGTTCGGAGTGGTCGGCTAAGGTGGATGGGTGTAGGTGATGGAGGTGGAAGAAGGGTTGGGGGTGGTCGGCTATGGTGGATGGGTGTAGGTGATGGAGGCGGAAGAAGGGTTGGGGGGGTCGGCTATGGTGGATGGATGTAGGTGATGAAGGCGGAAGAAGGGTTGGGGGTGGTCGGCTATGGTGGATGGGTGTAGGTGATGGAGGTGGAAGAAGGGTTGGGGGTGGTCGGGTATGGTGGATGGGTGTAGGTAATGGAGGTGGAAGAAGGGTTGGGGGTGGTCGACTATGGTGGATGGGTGTAGGTGATGGAGGTAGAAATAGGGTTGGGGGTGGTCGGCTATGGTGGACGGCGTAGGTGACGGAGGAAGGAGACTTAAGGTGGGGGAATAGTGGTGAAGATGACGAGAGGACAGGTGCAAAGCGATCCCTAGCCCATGTTGCCCCCCAATCAAGTGCCCGGCTTACTGCTGGTCACGACCCCTAATCCCGGAACCAGGCCACCCTACCATACATTACTTCGTCCGAGGTTACCTGTCACAACAAAAGTGAGAAGAAACCGAACCGAACTACTGGGACTACAGCACACACACAAATGCATACATCACCTGTCACCGGTTACAGCAAAAGGTGAGACGGGATTGGACTGAACCACCGAAACTGTGGTCCGCACATACGCACACACATACATACTTCTCATGTCCCTGGTTACAGCAAAGGTGAGAAGGGACTGCACTAAATCATCTGGACCGCAACACCCACACACACACACACGCATGCACTCTTCACATGTCACCGGTTACAGCACAGGTGAGAAGGAACTGAATTGTACTACTGGACTGCAACACACACCCATATACACACATACATACTTCACATGTTACCGGTTACAGCACAGGTGAGAAGGAACTGAACTGTACTACCGGACTGCAACACACACCCACATACACACATACACACATACATATTTCACACGTCACTGGTTACAACAAGAATGAGAATGGACTGCACTGAACCACCTGGACTGCAGCACACACCCACATACACACATACACACTCCACATGTCACCGGTTACAACAAAGGTTAGAAGGGACTTGTACTGATTTACCCGGACTGCAGCACACACACAAACACACACATACACACTTCGGATGTCACCGGTTACAGCACATGTGAGAAGGAACTGAACTGTACTACCGGACTGCAGCATACACACACACACACATACACACTTCACATGTCACCGATTACAGCACAGGTGAGAAGGAACTGAACTATACTACCGAACTGCAGCACACACCCACTTACACACATACCAACTTCACACCCCTCCGGTTACAGCAAGAATGAGAATGGACTGCATTGAACCACCCGGACTACAGCACACACCCACATACACACATACACACTTCACATGTCACCGGTTACAGCAAGGGTGAGAAGGGACGGCACTGAACCACCCGGACTGCAGCACACACACACACACAAACATACACACTTCACATGTCTCCAGTTACAGCAAGAGTGAGAATGGAATGCACTGAACCACCCGGACCGCAGCACACACACACACACACACACTAGTTTCAACCGAATGACAAGGTTTGAGTACTCTATACTAGGGAGAAACATAGCGCCACATCACGGAACACCTTGCCACACACACATACACCAATTACAGCCAAATGACAAGATTAGAAGCAATCTACCTAGAGAACAGTCCACCGAAGTATCCCGGAGTGAATCTCACACACACAAGCATCAAGATCAGCCAAAACACAAGGTTGAAAGCATCTATGCTAGAGGAAAGTTCACCGAAGTATCCCAGAATGAATTGCAACACACACAAGTATCAAGGACAACCAAAAGATGAGTTTGGGAACATCTACACAAGAGGAAAATTCACCTAAGTATCCCGGAATGAATCGCAACACACACAAGCACCAAGGACAACCAAAAGATGAGATTGAGCGCATCTACACAAGAGGAAAGCTCACCGAAGAATCCCGGAGTGAATCGCAACACACACACACATCAAGATCAGCCAAAACACAAGTTTGAGAGCATCTACACAAGAGGAAAGTTCACCGAAGTATCCCGGAATGAATCGCAACACACACAAGCATCAAAATCAGCCAAAACACAAAATTGAAAGCATCTACACTAGAGGAAAGTTCACCGAAGTATCCCAAGATGAATCGCAACACACACAAGCATCAAAATCAGCCAAAACACAAGATTG